GTCTCTGAGTATATTAGATTCTGCATTGACAACTCCATCCCCACCAAGGAGGTCCGATGCTACCCAAACAACAAACCGTGGGTAACCAGCAACCTGAAAGCCCTTCTCAATGAGAAGAAGAGGGTCTTTAGATCAGGGGACCGAGCAGAACTTTACGTGTACAAGCATGTACAAAGAGAGCTCAAACACAGCATCAGGGGGAGTAGGGACGCATACAGGAGAAAACTGGAGGACAAACTGGAGAACAACAACACCAGGGACGTGTGGAGTGGGATGAGAGAGATCACCGGCTTTCAGGGGAGAGGTGGGGGTGCAGCTGAGGGGAATCAACAACGAGCCAATGAGTTGAACCAGTTCTTCAACAGGTTTAACTTCAGCTCCCCCACCCCTGGCAGCCCCTCTACTGCTCTTCTAAGCAACAAACCCAGGACACTCCCACAGCCCCCACAGCCCCCTACCACCTCCTGCAGCAGACACCTCTCTGTATCAACCTCGTCATCCCCATCCCCCAACCTACTGCTGACACCCACTACAGACCCTGCCACATCCCCCACGTCCCAGACTGGACTTTATATCAGTCAGCAAAGTGGGGCGGCTGTGGCTCAGAGGCAGAGCGGGTCGTTCCTAAATCGGAAGGTTGTGGGTTAGATCCCCAGCATGTCGAAGTATCCTTGAGCAAGATACTGAACCCCAAATTGCTCCCGATGCCGTGCATCGGTGTGTGAATGTGTATGAATGTTAGTTTCTGTTCGATGGACTTTACCATCACTGAGTGAATGTGTGTGAAAGGGTGAATGTGACACGTAGTGTAAAAGCGCTTTGAGTGGTTGGAAGACTAGAAAGGCGCTATACAAGTACAGGTCCATTTACCATTTACCAAAGTGAGTTGTATGTTTACAGCTAGACAAATAAGTAATTCTGTCTAGCTGTAAACATACAGCTAAACAAATAATTAATTCCGTCTAGCTGTAAACAACAACAACACGAAAGAGAATGCTGTTTTCACTGTTGTTGTCATAATAACATAAGTTAACTTATGTACTGTAATTAGGGACCGAGCCAGTGTCAACACTGGGAGGACCTATTGTTTTTGCTGAGCCAGCGACCGCGCTAGAGTCCATGAACTACGTTTTCGTGTTCCATCCATGCGCTTTTGTCCGATTCGCACGAAACGTTTTACGTAGCATCTGGAGACCGTCCTAGCAAAAAAAGTAATTTAAAGTATTTTGATATTTTAAAAAATAAGCACGTTATAAAATTAGCACTTCCTGTGGATTTTTCGTCAAAAAAGAAAGTGGACCATTTCTCCACATTGGTTTGTCCGATTGACAATTTGTCCAATTGGGTCCATAGTTCCCCATGTAATTGTAATAGTTATGAATATGAAATTCATAACTATAGCTCAGATACCAAAAATCGTGTGTGTCATGTTTGTAGCGCCCCCTACAGCATTTCAGACCTCGCGCCACGTTTCACCGATATGTATGAAACTTGGTAGGCATGTGTAACGTGCCTAGACCTACAGAAAAGCCTCTTGGACCCATGCCCCAAAACCCACAGGAAGTCAGCTATTTTGATTTTCATTGTCACTCTCGACGGCCATTTTGTTTGTCATCTCATTTTAGGCAAATGTTCGCCTTGTATTTGAATTAACTCCTGATCGGGGACTTATCAGATCTACTTCAAAATTGGACAGTACAATCAAAACATTTTGCTGATTAAATGCTGTGCTATTTGTGACTGTACATTGAAGGGTGTGTCCGTGGCGTGCTGTCAATGTTCGTCATTTTGAATTCCGTGGTCTTGTATTTGAACGAACAAACTCCTAGGGAATTTATCAGATCTGCTTCAAAACTGGACAGTACACTTGAAAAATGTTGCTGATAAAAAGTTGTGCGATTTGTGACTGTACGTTGAAGGGCCTACAGATTTTATCGGATTGACTTCAAATTCGATCACAGCAATCTATACACTTTGGTGATCAAAAGTTAATCAAATATTTAATGTGCGTCAAACGGCATGTCCGTGGCGTGGCGCTGAATTTCCACGTTTCGCAGGGAAGAGTCTTGCTATGAAAGCTTAAGTCTTTTGCACATTGTCTGAAATGCCTGACAACGTAGAGCGGTCTCACTCAGCTTCTGGCGATGAGGGCTTGGTAGAGGGGTGACGTGGCATGGCGTGGCTGTGGTGGGCGACCACCATGCAGGCCCCGTCGTAGGTTGATGGCGAGGTCCTGTCCAATGCTGCTTGCAGCCTTAATTAGGGACCGAGCCAGCGACCGGCAAGGTCCCTATTGTATTTGCTATGTTTCTTATTATTCTTACCTATTATTTTTAGCGCCTTTGATTGCGTTTTTGCCCCCCTGAACATATACGAAAAGTCAATTTTATTTGGCAAAGTGGTCAGGCCTGGTGAAAAATTTGATATTCTATGCGCCGCTTTTGGGTTGGCCACTAGGTGGCGCTACTATCATAAAAAATGCGTTTAGGCTAATAACTTCGGCATAGTTTGTCGCACATTAAAAAAACATATCCACGCGTCCGGTGAGTGGAGCTGAATCTCCCCATATAGGCAACGCCCACTTCCGCCTATAATTTTTCTCTGCTAGAGCGCGAAATGTCCATAAACTACGTTTTAAAAAAAACAGCAGCCCTGGCGCCACGTTTCACCAATATGTACGAAACTCGATAGGCACGAGTAACATGCCGGGACTTACAAAAAAGCCTCTTGGACCCATACCCGAAACCCCACAAGAAGTCGGCCATTTTGATTTAAAATTTCACTTTCGGTGAACTTTTCGCGTTGTATTTGAACGAACTCCTCCTAGGGAATTTATCGGATATGCTTCAGTCAAAAAATGGTTCTGATTAAAAGTTGTGGTATTTGTGCATGTACGTTGAAGGGCGTGTCCATAGTATGCCCTCAAATTTGGCCATAGTGAATTCCGTGCGCATTTTCGGTTAATTTTTCGTGTTGTATTTGAACAAACTCCTCCTATGGAATTTATCGGATTTGCTTCAAAATTGGTCAGTACAGTCAAAAAATGGTGCTGATTAAAAGTTGTGCTATTTGTGCATGTACGTTGAACAGTGTGTCCGTGGCATGCCCTCAAAGTTGGCCATAATGAATTCCGAGGTCCCGCCCAACGCTGCTTGCAGCTTTAATTGATTATTGTGTTTATATGTGTCATTTTCGGTTTGTTCAATCAAACTGTAAAGTGTCTAGCTGTATATATGCTTGGTCATAGCACAAGATGTATGAGACAGGCATATAGCATTATTTTTGTTCATTTATTTTTTCTTTCTTTAACCCAGTTCTCACGGGTTGACCAGCAATAAAGCCCTGTATTTTAATCAAGACCTCTTGCCTCATGCCTGTCACTGGAGGAGCTACATGTGTTGTTGCTAATTTGACAGTGCCAATGTCTAATTGTGCAGCTAATAGCTAATTTGTATTTATGAAATAGGAAGAAAAACTACTAGTGTCTTTGGTGGTAGTATTACGATTGTCCCTAAAATATGAAACGTTTGTCTTTTGGCTTTATTTTAAGAGTGTAACCGGACGTTGCTTATTTATTTTCCTAATTTGCTTACTCATGGTGGGAATTGTTTGGTCTCTGTAAATAATGTCTAGACCTGCCCTATTTGAAAAGTGTCCTGAGATAACTTCTGTTATGAATTGGTGCTATGCAAATAAAATTGAATTGAATTGAATTGAAATAGTGCTACAGGCTTCATGTTTTAACCCTGTTATACAGTCAGACAAGTCCTGTCCATGGTGCGGATCGGTTTAGACTGCCTACAAGTCAGGGACACTAAAATTATTTGACAAACTTCAAACATCCTCCTAGCCTGTCTGGGGGCTCCTATGAAACTACAGTAGAATGTGCAAGAAAATATGGGATTGATTCAGTAAGGGACAGTGCATTTTATTTTTCAATACGTGACAATCCTGTATTATATGGGACAGATTGTAACCCTAGTTAGTGACAACAAAGGTCAGAGTTGAAATAATTTCAACTTAAATGGTAAATGGACCTGTACTTGTATAGCGCCTTTCTAATCTTCCGACCACTCAAAGCGCTTTTACACTACGTGCCACATTCACCCTTTCACACACATTCACACAGTGATGGCAAAGTCCATCGGACAGAAACTAACATTCATACACATTCACACACCAATGCACGGCATCGGGAGCAATTTGGGGTTCAGTATCTTGCTCAAGGATACTTCGACATGTGGCACCAGGAGCCGGGGATCGAACCCTTCTGATTAAGGAACGACCCGCTCTGCCTCTAAGCCACAGCCGCCCTTAGCTGTTATCTCACTGGTTTTCTTTAAAAGGTCAGCATTGGTTGCACTTTGAAAGGTCAGCGGCAACCAAGGTCATAGTTGAAATCATTTCAACTTTGAGCGCAGTGCTCAGTGGCAGTTTCGAGCATTGCACCACATCAAAAGTAACATCACAGCTTTCCCCATATAAAAACAACGGCCCATTCAGTGCTGAGCAGTTTTACAGCTGATCATGTGCAGTGGAAGTTTGTATGGCTGTTATTTTGAAGTACCATTTATAACAGCTGAGTGATAGTCAATAGCAGCAGTTTACTGTTGGTTGGTTACGTTTTTTTAATCACATTCTAATTGAAGTGAAAGTTGGTCTGAATCTACATTTAGACATTTTATAGTCACTGGTATAAAACAATCCGTACGATGCACCAGGCAGTTTATAGGTTAGGTTATAGGTTATGTAAATTACATTAGGTACATTGATCATATTAGAAGTTTCTGCAAGGTACCTCCTTGGGTTAAGATCCACATCAGCACTACTAAATGTCAGACAGTTCACTGAAGTCAAATCTGTGGGATCACTGATGTGATCAGCCAAGACAAACTGTCGACTTAAGCACATGTTGAATGAGAATGTGGTCTCTTACATGCATAGCCTGAGCTTTGTCTAATAAGCTGTTACATGAACAATACTATGTGATTTGGACCTACCCTGCGATGATTTCAAATGGAGGTAGTTCCATTGGCTCAACCTGAAGATCTCCGTTCTCACCGTTAGCTACTGAACCATTGGTGACTGTCACCTCAGCTGATGGGAGTTCTCCACTATCCACTTCCATCTCTCCTTCATTCTTAGCTTTCTTTACATCCTTGGTCATTTCAGCAGACTCCTTTTCTTTCCTCTCTTTTCTTCTCATTGGTGTACGACTTTTGTCAGCCATGGTTAAAGAATGGAAGTCTGTAGAATTTGTGTTGAGAAAGAGAAGACAAGATGTAGATGAAGACAGGAGGTAAGGACAGAAGACGTGAAACAAAAAATGACTTAACAGCAGACAAGCACAGAGGAAGGAAGAACTAGCTAGGGGGAGGAGTGGAATGGTAGAGAGGGCAGGGGGGAGGCAATGGAAGAAAGTAGTGCAAGGAGCTAACCAAAGAGAGAGAGAGAGAGAGAGAGAGAGAGAGAGATGGGAGAGAGAGAGAGGCAGACCATACAGTTCATAGGATTGTCCATAACCCAGGCTGATATTAAGGTTTGTTTACAGTTTCACTATCAGCGGGGAAATCACTCTGCTGTGGTGAGGGAATACTTTACTCAAATCAAATAAAACTATCTATAAAACTTTAAGGGCTGGTTAACCATTCCATTTTTGGTGAGTTTTAGCTTCAAGCTTTGAAGTGTGTGACTTCTTAGGCTTTCAGAGGGGAACACTGGATACTTTACTCTTTTTTTTTTGGCACAGAAATTGTAAGATTCAAAGATAGTGAATTAAAACTCACCATATAGTATTGTCAATCAGCAGCTTCAATCTAAAAATATATGTATTGGCACTAGCCTTTAAAGGTTTATATAGGTCAAACCATGGTAGACACACACAGCAGCTGCAGCTCAAAGACCAAGCAGGTCTATTTAAAGACCCTGAGGGTGGGGGGGTTGGACAGTTGTTTCTGTGCTTATCTGCATTTTGACTGACTAAGATTGCTGCTAATGTCAACTGATACATAAGATTTATCAGTATTTGTCCTCAGTGTGGCAGTGTCGAGTATACGTATGTAAAAGGACTACAGTTATATAGCACCATTCTAGTCTTCTGACCATTCAAAGCATTTTAGTACAGGTCACATTCACCCATTCACATGTATTCATATATGATATGGAGGGTGAGAGAGAAAGTGTCAGAGTAGTCAACTGGTTAAAAGTGGCCACAGTAACCCTGTCCCTCTCCCCACAGAAAACATTTCTCAATTTGGGGCATTTAGCTGCATCTTGCACAAACATTTTAAGCTTTTTAGTTCATAATGCACCACCCATTTCTTTTTCTTTTTCTTTCTTTTTAGCATTTTCAGTAATTATGTTAAAGCACAAAATGACAGATGAAAATGACTGAGCAATCAGATTTCAACAAAAATGAGGATCAGTCCAAATTGGGAAGGGCAGCGCCTTTACCTCCTCAATACTGATAGTATAGGATTGGCCCAGTCTGACAGGCAGTTTTTTGCTGTTTGCTGTGAGGCTTAGAGGACCAGGGTGGTCCATGGTAAACGGTAAATGGACCTGTACTTGTATAGCGCCTTTCTAGTCTTTCAACCACTCAAAGCGCTTTTACACTACATGCCAAATTCACCCTTTCACACGCATTCACACTGTGATGACAAAGTCCATCGAACAGAAACTAACATTCATACACATTCACACACCGATGCATGGCATCGGGGGCAATTCGGGGTATAGTATCTTGCTCAAGGATACTTTGACATGTGGCACCAGGAGCCGGGTATCGAACCCACAACCTTCCGATTAAGGAACAACCCGCTCTGCCTCTGAGCCGCCCATGCCATGGTTGGGGACCACACAGTTACTACTGACATTGGAAAAATAAAAACTCTATGACGAAACAGACAGATGATCATGTCCTTGGCTTCTTAGTGAAGTCTCAACATCCCGCTGTTTACTTGGACATAGAGTGTAGATAGAAACAGGGCTTAAGGTTATATGCATATAATAGCCTCTTTAACAGTTGCATATGTATGTATGTATATATATGTTTACAATAACTGGGTCAAAGGGTTTTATAGGTTCTTAAAAATTGCCATTACAAGAGATGGTTAAAAGTTAAAAGCAATAGCTAACAAATGGCTAATGTAACTAGGTAGCTAGTTAGTTTGCTAATATTTTGCTAACATTATTCCCCATTGGGGGTCAGCCCCATGTTCCCACAGCTCAATAGTCCCACAGCCCTATGATCCCACATTTCTAAGAACGGTTAGGGTTAGGGGTAAGGGTTAGAAAAAGGGATACAATCTGATACAAATTTAGAAGAAGGAAAAAGGAAATGTGGGAAGGGTTAGGGTTGGGATTAGGATTTTAAATATATTCTAAATTTTACAGGGAGCCAGTGCAGAGAAGCTAGTACAGGAGAGATGTGATCTCTTTTCCTAGTTCCTGTCAGTACTCGTGCTGCAGCGTTTTGAATTAATTGGAGCGTCTTAATGGACTTATTGGGGCAGCCTGATAATAAAGATTTGCAGTAATCCAGCCTAGAAGTAACAAATGCATGGATTAGTTTTTCTGCATCTGTCTGTGACAGGATGTGTCTAATTTTTGTAATATTACGTAAATGAAAGAAGGCAGTCCTAGAGGTCTGCTTTATGTGGGAATTAAATGACAAATCCTGATCAAAGATAACTCCAAGATTCCTGACAGTGGTACTAGAGGCCAAGGTAATGCCATCTAGAGAAACTATATCTTTAGACAGTGAGTCTCTGAGGTTTTTGGGTCCAAATACAAGAATTTTGTTTTTTTCTGAGTTTAACATAAGAAAATTGCAGCTCGCACTCCACGCAACTTGGGGTGTGCTGCAGCCGTGTCACGTGCCAGAGTAACACATGCGGACCACAACGTGAAAATTTCATATAAATCAGATCAAAATCATCGCCCACTCACCACAGTGATCACATATCATCAACCATGTGTTTTGCATTTTATAAGTAAATTTCAGCTTGATCTGATCATCCTGCTGGGCACGTGTAGACTGGTGCTTGTAGCTCACATACCAAAAATTGCATTTGTCGTGTTTGTAGCGCCCCCTACAGTATTTCAACAAAGCAGCCCCGGCGCCGAGTTTCACTGATTTGTATGAAACTCGGTAGGCACATGTAATCTACTTCAAAATTGGTCAGTACAGTCAAAAAACCTTGCTGATTAAATGTTGTGCTATTTGTGACTGTGTACGTTGAATGGCGTGTCTGTGGCATGCCGTCAAATTCAGCCACGTTGAATCGAATGTCAAACTGTGATGCCATTTCTGGCATTTCAGGGCTTCAATTTTAACTAACTCCTACAGATTTTATCGGACTGACTTCAAATTCGATCACTGCAATCTAGACACGTTGGTGATCAAAAGTTAATCAAATATTTACTGTGTGTCAAACGGCTTATCCGTAGCGTGGCGCTGAATATCCACGGTTCGCAGTTTAGAGTCTCGCTATGAAGGCACAAGTCTTTTGCACAGTGTCTGAAACGCGTGACAATGTAGAGCGGTCTCCCTTAGCTTCCGGCGATGAGGGCTTGGGCGTGGGGTGACATGCGTGCAGGCCCGACGTAGGTTGATGGCGAGGTCGAATGTCAGCATATACAAACACCTTAAGATAAACATAATTTATCTAAATATAACATGAATTTGTAACTACACATCAATTCTTATGTGGAGACATTCAGACATTTTTTAAGGCTTGTGCAAATTTGAATTACATTGTAGAAGAACTATGAAAATGTGTTGTTACAATACATACCAACCAAAGTCTGAAAAAATAAACTATACGCAGAATTTATCTGCAAAGTAGCACAGCATGGTTGTAGCATGGAGTGACTTTTGTCACCCCATGCTACAACAGCCATGCTCATTGTCTATATTTATTCTCTTGACCAAACAGCTGCTCAGTAAACTAATCCCTTACAAGTCGAGGGGACAGCTGCCATTCCACAGATAAGAGACAGAGAGGGAACTCCGTCAATCCATCAGCGAGATACAGTGTGGAAGATGTTGAGACAAGAGAAGGGTTATTAAGGACAGATTGGCCGACAAGACTACCACAATTTGAAAGATCTTTGACAAATCTTTTGGAAAACCGCTTGTATTTCAAAGTAAACTTGGTACAAATATTCTCTTGACGCCGCAATGACAGACAGCAGCAGTCCCCCACTGTCATCCTACATCATGGATGAGGAAACTCTAAAGCGAAAACAGAAGGAGAAGCTAAAGAAGCTGATGGCTACAGGAGGCAACCCAAGGCCTACACGCTCTCTCCTCTTCTTGACACTCAGGAATCCCTTCCGCAAGGCATGCATCAATATTGTGGAGTGGAAGTATCCTGCTGTAAAAGGTTGCTAGAGGGACAGCTGAATCAAACTTATAAGATAACATTTAATGTGATTATTGCTACCACAGACCATATTTACCATATTGTTACATTTGGTGTTCTATTTGCAGAACAGCTGTAGGTGGTGTGTATAAGTGTGTCAAGGTGTTTGCTGTTTACTTTGCGTGATGTGGGAACATCTAAATGTGAAATATTATGGTTGGTACGTAAGCTTCCTATGAATCACTTTCAGACCTTTTGAAATCATAATCCTGCTGGCCATCTTTGCCAACTGTGTGGCGCTGGCTGTGTACTTGCCCATGCCTGAGGAAGACAGCAACAACACAAACAGCAACTTGGTACGTCAGCATGCTTTTGTTTGAGTGTAAATGGATATTATAATATACTGTGGATATTAATAGTGGTTTAAGCCAGTGGTTCCTATAGTGGGTGCCTTGAGGACAGGTCATGTCATTGACATCATTCATTGTTCATGTTTTGTGTTCAAGTAAAGAGACCAGGTGTCTCACCTTGTGTAGCACTGCACAGACCTTTTGATATTTGAGACAGTGTCCCACAGTTTAATTGGCACATAAGTCAAATCACTCCATGATAGATGCTTTTTTTTCAAAGTAAAGTCTGGCTTTTATTCCCATGGCTGTGAAGAAAGCAGGGAACTCTGTTATTATGTTGTGTTTGATGTACACGTGGGTCAACTGTAGGTTAACCATGTCAGTACCTTTTACTATATTAACTATGAATATAAAATTGATATGAATCTGTGTACATACAGTGAATGTTATATTGGGGATTGGGTGGTTCAGGGTGCCATGGTATAAAAAAGTTTGGGAAACACTGGTTTAGGCACTTAGTGCTTCTAAGAAGTAAGTAGAAAGCATGTATATTACATTTCTTGTACTTTGAATACCTGACTTCTAATAACACAAATATTTCATTGGAAGGAATAAAGTACATTGTTTCTCTTATCCTGCCTTATCTGTCGAATATATTTACTAATCTAATCTAACTAATCTAAGAAT